CAGTGCTTAGGAGCATGGAAGATCTGGGTGCCATCCTGATCCCATCCCTTACTAGCCGTGAGACCGTAGGTGACTCAGATTAGCCATTGTGAGTCCCAGTGTCTTCATCTATGAACCCTAATAATAATAGCATCTACCTCAAAGGCTGTTGTGAGGATTCGATGAACTGTGCCTTACTAGTCCGTAACGTAGTCTCTGCCACAAAGCGTGCACTCCATAAATGCTTGTTCTTTTTATTTTTGATATTATTATTACGAGGGCAGAAAATACTTTTCTCCATAGTTATTACCCAGATAAAACTTCTGGATCTTTCCTAAGGTTCACATTCCATCAGTCTCTGCTTTTACCAGATTTACATATAAATTCATAGAAATACTGTGAGCGGAAATTTATGGTTCTTATATGCACAGTGGTCAAAATATAAATGGATAATTTCAAGAACAATGTAGATTAGACCATATCTCATTGGGTGAAAAAAGGAAAAATAAGATCCTGTTTTTAAATGACTTAAACTTTAAAAACGCTCATTAAAAATAACAATGTCAAAATTCATATACAATGTCATCACCTCCTTTTCCCCTCACTTCAAAACATTTATGCTTTTTAGGAAGGATAAGGCTATTGACAAGTGCATGTCAGGCTAGAAAATTACTGTTTGCTTCTATGATGCCAGAGGGGAGGAAAATAATAGATTGTATATAAGTGCCTCACTAAGTTGACTATAGCATAAACAGTTACGTTTGGGGGGTCATATTAAGATATTTTTTTCCTTCAACAATAGGTTAGATTGATCATGCAATTTTTGGAATTGTCAGTAAAAGCAGTCCAAATATCAGGTTGACTGTGGCATTGGAGTCTTTTCTTTTTTAGAGTCATCTAGAAATGATCATGAACTTGCAGTCAGGACATACTCTCTTCAAGCTTTACTTTGGTCACCCTCTAGCAATCTTTAGGCAGGATTTATTTTGAACCATTCTTAAAAGGAGTTGGTGGTCTCTGGCTGGGTGGCATTCTGCCTGTCCTCAGCTCCCGCCTCTCCATGAGCTAATGTTTCCCTCTATATCTATCTCATTGGTATTTTGGTGGGGATGATGAAAAGATTAGGGGTGTATTTGATCTGCGAAATTGGAGCTACTGTTGCCATCTTGAGCTGGAATGAGATGTATCTGTCTGTTTTCACTCTGTAGCTATCACAACAATGAAAGTTAATAATTTCTGCTGTTTTTGATGTCTTCAATGAAAGGGTTATTTTGTAATTCCAGTAGTCACTACATTCTGATATGAATGCCAATATATTCCAACATTCCTTTAGATAGTTTAGGCTGTATTCAAAGCTGCTCTGTCTAGCTGTGGTTGCAACATGCTCAAATGATTGAGGGTCTCATGACTGTTACTAGAATTCTCTCTATCACAGGGCAACTAAAGGAGTTTCTGAGGTGGGGAGAGGCATTTAGACTAAATTACAAATACATCCTTGCATTGTTTTTAATGATGCTCTCAGTTATTCTTCACGGCAGAATGCTAGACTCTCTCTTCCTCCAGTTACTTATTTCACAAATAAAATATGCTATTTTCCTTATTTAGGGCTGGGTCGCTTTCTTCATAAATGTATAATTGATAGTGATTTAATGAACACCTACACTTATCAGTATCTTTAGGAAAAACAACAACAACAAAACCTCTGGGGTTTTAGTGACCGGCTTTAAAACCTTTCATGTAACAACCCTATATTAACTAACATAGGAACAACTTGAGTACTGAATTCCATGGCGAGAGGCAGGTCAGTATATTACTCTGCAGTGAATCAAAACACTTCATATAAAATGATGTGACTACTCATGGGTTGTTTGCAGAAGTGTCTAGAAGGAAAGGCATTATGAGACTGCCTCAAAGGAACAAAGCAAAGAATTTAGGAGAGAAATTGATGAACTTTTTGACATGAAGCACTAGACCTCTTTTCTCCTGATGTTTTTTGATATTGGATATCCTACATTTTAACTTTTTCATTTTTGTGTGAAATACGTCTCAGAAATCTACTTTAATGCTCAATTTTCAGTGTGATATATACATAGTATTCATGAAAGATCCGAAGATTACTCATTGGTCCCATTCTAATAATAAATGTAGAAGAAGAAATCTTATTGAAAAATAGGCGCTTAGAAACCCAGAGACCTTACACACAAAAGGAAAGCCAAATATTTGTGGTAGTTAGTCACCATTTTAAATAGACCTCACAGCAGCAAATCAAATGTAACATTAAATAATTCCGAAATGAAAGTAAGCATTCTGTAAAAATGTGGCATTATGGAGCAGAAGGTTAGTTCATTTTAGGTGGATGTTAGAAGTAGGTGTTATTAGAATTTAATGTTTCTCCTTAATGTTAAAATTGAAATTTTAGTTCACGAGGAAAGGAACAGCTCTGTAGAATACTAGAGTTTTTTCTTTTCTCACAAAGTAGCCAGACTGCCATCCACATCATCTATTCCCTAAGCTCCAAACTGAGGGCCAAGGTATCTGTTTAATCTCTGATAAAATGGGTAAAATTCTTCATTCTAATATTCTAACCCAAGAACAACTAAAAACATAAAATTGATTCATGGTCCAAGAATTATTTTCCAACTGTAGTAAAAAGGAAGTACCCAAAAGAATAACACCACCAATAACAACCAAAAATAAAATGCATGCACACACATTAAAACAACCCCTCCCCTCAAAACAAAAGTCTGTTTTTCAAGCTACTTTCATTATAGGCCATTTTCTTCAAGAAATTTCCTAAAAGTCAGTTGCCTTTGAGAGTGGAGGTTTTTTTCTAGCCACCTCTCATGGCTGGCTAGAGAATTTTATTAAATTATAGTTCAGTAGCTGGACAGAGTTGTGTGTCCAGCTGTCTAACTCTACTTGTGGTATTGGTCAAGATGTGTTAAGCAGTTTTTGGTTGTCTTGAGGACGAATATTGTGTTTGATTCTCATGGCTCACTGACTAATGAGTTGTGGCATCACTACAAAGCTGTGATGGGTGCTCAGGTAACAAGCCACACTTCAATAGCTGCATACACTCTCACATTCAATTTTATTCCAAGTTGGCAACTTTTCAGTAAATATCTGATTTGTGGTACATGAAAAAATATGTTTCTGCTCAATAACTGATTTTAAGTGTTTCTTAATTTTGCTTGTGGGGTGAATAGTTTGGTCAATTGATATGGTAAAACATGAAAATGTTAAGTCATAGAAAAACTGATGGTTTTGTTTCTCATTCTAAAACTTTACTGAAGATGGTTACCATAAGAAATATGTACATATCTCAATGGAAATATATTGACCACATTTATAAACATGGAAGTATTGAAGAAAGTCTAAGAAACTGAATACAGAGTTGCATAAATTGTTACAAAGGTGTTATAAGGTGGCCACACACTAAAATATGTATGTTACAAGGAAGAAATAGTGGATCTCAGTGGTAATTATTCTAAAGTAAAAGATGAACATGGAATCAATATCAGAGTGAAAAGAACTGCTCTTCAGCATGATAGCAAGTGCTCTAAAAAGCGAACTGAAGCATAAATATCTTTAACAAGGGAATTCACTTTCCTTTTTGCTTCCTTCTTATATGTCAGCCCCACACCTGTCCCCAGTGTCCAAAAAGCAAATACTCCAATGGTTCCCAAACCTTCACGTTAAAACTACTGAGAGATTTTTATCTTTTTCCTTAATAAGAATGTGCTAAAATGAGATCATCAGGTTTCATATTTTAATTTTGCATTTCAACCTTCTTTACCCATTATGAAAAAGAAGAGCACCATTTCATTGCAGTCTGCCCATTAGTACATTATTTTTGAGCCTTTTCAGTGTACCCCCAAATAGCATTGTGTGGATGTCATTGGTTCCTCCTATTTCCAATACACACAGCACTACCACATAGCAGGTCATTGCATTTCACTGTTTCCATGCTTACCTCCTTTTGCTAGACCATGAGCTGTTTAAAGACAGAGAATATGTTTTATTGCTCTCTGAGTCTTTTTCATCTAGCATAATGCATGTCACATCGTGGCTGTCCAATAAATATTTATTCTTTAAAAAACGTCTCTAGTTTTTCTTGCAATTGAACATATCTACTATGTTTTACAGAGTATTCTGTTTCGAGTCCTATTTCAGACTTGCCTTGTATTTTCAAGACAGGCAAACAAGCAATCCAAACTTGTTTCTCTGTGTTAAGCTAACACGAGCATTTAAAAAAGTAATACGGCACTATGATTTTCACTAAACTAGGAAAGGTTATTTTGGAGCTGCTGGGACTTTAGATATTTGAAGTAGTAATTACTTCCCCCATAAATGTTACCTTTTAGAGTCAAATACCGCTTTCCTGTTGCAGTTCAACTTTTTTACTTAAAGGAAAATGTCTTTATTCACAATTTACCATGATACACTATTACATGTGGTAATTCTTTTTATTTGTTTTCGTAGCATTGTAAGGTCAATGAAGCATCATAATAATAATGATAGTAGCTTACATTTATTCAGTATCTATTCTGTGGTAAGCATTTTACTAAGCACTTTACATGTACTATGTCATTTAAAACCCACATAAAATTTATGATGTGTGTGATTTTTATATATCTTTATCTCTATCTCTATCTATTGATGGATTGATTGATCTATTGAAGCTTGGAGATGCAATTTTCCAACTTGTGGTCAGGATAATAATGCAGGCAGATCCTTCTTCAGATTTTGTATTCTTGGTTCCTTAAAGTTCTGAATATCCAGCAACAAAATTTAATACCATGTTTTGCATAATTCTGGAACCATGACCTGTTTTAGTGAAGTACTTGTGGTATCATTTATAAAATAAACAAACAGCAGATGTTGGGTTGTACTTTAAATATTATCAAGTCACTGCAACTAAGACTCCAAGAGTATTTCTTCTATATTGAATAGATATCAACTCTTACCTGATGATCATCAACAGTTCATGTTGAAACTGACTGTTTCAATTTGCAACTTACCGTAGACTTGGGTTTGGTTCCAGAATTGGCTACTGGGGTGGAAGAGGGTAGGTCAGTGGACTCAGTGTTAGAAGACAAATTTATTTGTGTCTGATTTACTGAAATGGTATCTGCTCCACTCTCAGATCCTGACTCCAGATCCTATTAAAAGAAAAGGAATCGATATTAAGGGCATGTAAATGTTCTCTATATGCCTTTCTCCCTTCCACCAGCACCTTTCCACCTCCTCCTTCTCCCAAAACACATTGACACACTAAAGAGTTACTGATAACTGACACTGACATGTCACCCATCGTCATGCATTAGTTTGTAAGAACAATTGTACTCTTCAGAGGGTCTGATTTTAGAAGGCACATACTGGAGACAGAGGTAATGTACTACCTTGGTAAATTTAACAGCTGATTGTGAATTGGAAGGGGCAGCAGTGGGATCTGGCTAGGGCACTGCACTGAGTCAGGAGGTAGAAGCTCATAGACACCTCTTCCTCACTGTGTGACCTTAAGTAAATCACTTAACACCCCTCATGCAGCAGGGTCATTGTGGGTGTCAAATGAAAAGACAGCTCTCTTTTCTCCTCATCTCACTCTTTTCTGTGTTCACCTCAGATCTCCATGGTGGCATCTAACACAATGGCCTGGAAGCATTTAGCTCAAGTGTCTGTCTATCGAACGAACTATAAGCTATTTGAGGGCAGGAATTACGCTTTGTCATGTGTGATTCAATTCCCGCATTTGAAAATGGGTATATTAATAACATGCACTCACAGAGTTTCATGCCGATTAAGCAAGATATATTGCATATATATATAATTGGCACGTAATAATCTTCATTAAATGTTAGCCATTACTATAAATAGTTATTATTAATATCATCATGGTTTTTTAGTAACTAGTGCACAATATGTAGCTATGACATGTCTGCTAAGTGAATGCAATTACTTGGTAATCTCTCCAAAGGCTGTGCATTTGATTTATCAAACGCTCTCTTTGCATTATATGGTGGCCTGAGAGAACAGAGGAAAGGTGAGGGTGAGGAAAATGAGAGGGGAGGGAGTAAAGACACATATCACTCTATAATTTTAACCTGAGAAAATTATGAGTTCAACATCTTTGTGTCTATCTTTCTTCATCTCAACTTTACCATGGCCCACACGGTCACATATCATCTATTTTGCACCCTAACTCTCTGGCCTGATACTCGACCATTCTCTTGTTCCTTAGTATGTGTCAGCCATACTCACTCTTTGTAGTCCTTCTAGTACATCAAGCTGGTTTCTATGGTAGGGGCTATGTCTTTTCTTGTCCCTTGCTCCAGTATTTCACTTTGCTGGCCCTTTCTTGTCACTCAGGTCTCAGTTTCAATATCACTACCTCAGAGAAGTATCTTTTGACATTTCAAGTAGAGGAGTTTCCTTCCTTCAACCTCCACAGCATATCATTCTGTGTTTCACAATCTTATTACCTTGTTTATCTACCACATATCAATTATATCCATCCACAGTCTTATCTATCTATCTATCTATTTATCTATCTACTATCCATCTATCCATCCACCCTTCATTCATCTCTTTTTAGAATCCTTGTCTGTCTCCCTCAGCTGGAATCTATGTATCACAAGGGCAGGGACTTCACCTGTCTTGTTCACTGATACATCCTCAGATCTTAGCATAGTGCCTGGTACCTAGAATGTGCTCATTAAATATTATTTCATGAAAGAATAACTAGACTTAAAAATATTAATATTTAACCAGGGAGGTAAGAGATCTGTACACTGAAAACTATAAGACATTGATGAAAGAAATTGAAGAAGACACAAATAAATGGAAAGATATCCCATGTTCTTGGATTGGAAGAATTAAAATTGTGAAAATGTCCATACTACCCAAAGTGATCTACAGATTCGGTATAATCTGTCAAAATTCTAAGGGCATTTTTCACAGAATAGGGAAAACAATTGTAAAATTTGTGTGGAATTGCAAAACACCCCGAATAGCCAAAGCAATCTTGAGAAAGAACAACAAAGCTGGAGGGATCACATTTCCTGATTTCAAACTATATTACAAAGCTATAGTAATCAAAAGAGTATGGTGATTGTACTGGCATAAAAACAGACACATAGACCAATGGAATAGAATAGAGAGCTCAGAAATAAACACACACCACGTGTATAGTCAACTAATATTTGACAAGGAAGCCAAGAATACTCAATGAGGAAAAAATAGTATTTTCAATTAGTGGTGTTGAGAAAATTGGATATTCACATGCAAATGAATGCAGTTGGACCCCTATCTTAACCACTCACAAAAATTAACTCGAAATGAATTAAAGACTTAAATGTAAGATCTGAAACTGTAAAAACTCCTAGAAGAAAACATAGAGAAAAAGCTTCTTGACACTGGTCTTGGCAATGATTTTTTGGATATGACACCAAAGCACACAAGCAATAAAAGAAAAAATAAGATGTATAAATTTGGGGGATCTAATATTCAGTACAGTGACTATAGTTAACAACACTTGTTAATTATAAACTTGAAAGTTGCTAAGAGAGTAGATATTAAATGTTCTCACCACACACACACAAAATTATAATTATATGAGGCGATGGATGTGTTAACTAACCTTATTGTGGTAATCATTTTGCAATATATAAGTGTATCAAATCATCATATTGTACACTTTAAACTTACACAACGTTATATGCCAATTATATCTCAATAAAGCTGCAAAAAAAGAGAAGAAAAAAGTGGCATACAAAGATAAAGAATAGAAAGAAAGGGTACAAAAAAGATACACGATGATAATGAATATGAAAAGTAATACTATATTTCTTAAGTGTGTGTGTGTGCGTGTGTGTATGTGTGTAAAACACATAACCCTAACTAAATTTCTCACGCCCTGAGTGATTTCAGATCAGGGGCCATCTATTCTTCCTTTGCATGGAAAAGCAAAACAACATTTTACCATAAGAGAAGTATGATTCATTAAGATTTCAAATTGGATCAACATCAAACGCATAGTCACAAATAGCAGGTAATTTATAAACATCAAATGCATAGTCATAAATAGCAGGTAATTTATAAGCCATTTATATTTGACCTTTATGTATATCAGAAATCTTTTGCATTAATTTTGCCTTCCTGTTTATGATTGGTTTAGGTGAAGAGAGTAACTTTGCACCTTTCTAACAATACAATAATTCTGAGGCAAAATAGTAAATATTTGAAAAATCTACCATTTATTGTGTTTTCATCTTTTAAAGACAATACTTTACAGTCATTCTCTGCTTCAGTGTTCACCAACTCTATGTGGAAGATATTACTATCATCACTTGATAGATGATGAAGCCAAGGCTTAAGGCAAGTCACTTGACCAAATTCACATTCTGTGGCAGAGCTGGCATTAAAATTCAAATCTGTCTGACCCCAATTCGTCAGGCTGTATCAAGGCAGCCCACTTTAAATCTTTATCTCCACCCTGATTTCAATATTTTTTTCACCTTAAAGCCCTTCTTAAAGACTCCAGCCTATATTATTCTTTATATCCTCATTATTCATAGAACTCACTCCAGTATCTTCTCACAAATAATCTCTAACAGAGGTCCCTGTTTCATTGTCTGTCTTGTCCTCCCTGCTAAACTGTAAGTTGACAGTGCAGTGTGAGGTTTCCAGTCTGGCAGAGAGTTTCTAGTCTGAATCTGGGACAGAGCTCCTTGGTGGACAATCGAGGTCATAATCATGCTGTTATAATCCCCTTATTCCATGGTGCAATTATCAAAAGGAATGGAAAGTGCTTGTGGAAAAATTTTTGATGATGAGAGAATGTTAAAATTAGCTTTAAATACCAAGGAACAGAAATAAAAAACAAGGAATGACCTAGAAAAACATAAAGACCAAAAAGAAGTTTTGAGGGCTGCAGGATACATCTTATTCATCTTGAGCCCGGTGCCTGGCATGAGTACATGGGACAGGGAAAGAAAATTAACAAATTCTAAATATGTACTCTGTGCCAGATCTGCGCAATGCATCTCACACACATTCTTTCATTGACTCCTCCCAGCAAGTCATGAGGTAGGAAACAATATCTCCTTTTTTACATGAACCTCAAGTTGAGAAATTAAATAATTTTCTTATGTTCTCAGATATTCAGTTGTAGAACTGGCATTTGAACCCGGGTCTGCAGACTCCAAAATTCACAATGTTTGCACTGTATTATTTTGCCTATTCCAAGTGTCTATTGAACTGAAAACTTAGAAATAGATCTTTATTTACAGAATTAACCATTATTCAGCAATGGTGGTGATTTCTATGAGACAGTATGTGTAACGTAAAATCTAGTTTACACTTTAAATGGAGGCAGAGATGTAGATGCAGGCAGATCCTAAAATCATCACCCATTTTAGCTCCTCGGTTTTTTTGCCTTTACCATTCAACAAAGAACCCTGTCTAGCAGGTAAGGGCTGTCATGCTTTCTGAGATGGAGACAATATGGCGCTGTATTTAGCAGAAATTTGGGCTGTGTTTTTTCCCCTAAATACATGGGGATTGAGGAAAATTCAATATAGAGGGAAAAGGGGAGAGATTAAGGAGATAAGGAGAGATTAACAATTCACACCAGACAACTTTCAAAGAGAAAACATATCCCATGCTTACATTAATGGAAAAAAAGTACTAAGAAGGATCTTCTATCGAAAAATAAGGCTTTAAATGTGTTGACAAAATTGAGCATGAAGCTGCTATACACCCTTCATATGGAAAGAAGATTAAAACATCCCTTCTTGTTAGTCTTCAGATCACTTGGATTGCCTTTCCTCCATATGGGTGCCTGCCCTACTAAAGTATGTGTAAATTATTATGGCAGCACAGAGAAGGAGTAGTTGATTCTGTTTGGGAAGACAGAAGGAGATTTAGGGAAGACTTCACTGTAAAGAAAACATTTTAGATGAATCCTGAAGGATTAAAAAAAAATTATCTAGAAGGTTACAAACAAAAAACAAAAATGTCATTTCTACTGGCTTTCTAGGTTGAAGTATTTCATTTCATATTTATTCATCAAAAAAATTTTTATTCCACTTATTTAAACTGAACAAAAAACAGTTCACCTATTTCTTCCATTTTTTATTTATTTATCTTTTTTGCTGAGGAAGATTCACCCTGAGCTAACATCTGTGCCAATCTTCCTCTATTTTGTATGTGGGTTGCCACCACAGCATGGCTGCCAATGAGTGGTGTAGGTTTGTGCCCAGGAACTGAATCCAGGCTGCCAAAGTGGGGGGCGCCAAACTTAACCACTAGGCCACGGTGCTGGCCCTCTTTTTTTTTTTTTTGCTCAAGCTATCAGATTCCCATTACAATCAGCTAGAGAAGGCAGTATGGGGTAGTGGTTAAATGACACGGCTATGCGTCAAGGCTGGCAGGTTTGTATGCCAGCTCTGGCACATACAATTAGTAACTTCTCTATGCTTTTTACTCATCTGAAAAATATGGTGAGGAATGAATGTGTTAACATGCATAAAGGACTTAGAGTAATATCTAGATATACTAAGGTTACCTATTATTTTAATTTGTTTATTTACTTTGAAATATTCTGTCTTACAGTTAGAATGAATCTTGAATAATTTCAGAATCAGTAGTAGAGGTATATAAATTAAAGAATTTTATAGAGAATAGTTCCATTTAGGTAGGTGCTCAAATTTATATACAGGATTTTCCACCCCTTTGATCTTAGGTAAATACATAACTTCTTGACTTAATGTGTTGTTTATCATTACAAAAATAGTAGATTAATTGAAAAGAGATTCATGGATTAATTATAAGTAAATTCTACCATCACATTTGCTAGATATGCACAAACTAAGCCATTTAATATGAAGCTAATGTTAAATGTATAAAATATATAGTCAGCCTTGGAATCTGTGTTTTCCAAATTTTATTTTGAGTGTCAGAATCCCAAAGGAGTGTCTGTCTTATATGAAATTAATGCACAGTAGAATAAAATTCTCACCTCTGTCCTATTCATTGTATTTCACTGAGTGAATTTTAGACTATTTTCAAGTTAATCTCATCTAAATTTTTTCGTGTAGTATGCTGGGTTAGTTCAACCAGCATCCATTCATGCATCCATTCACCTACCCCCCCACCCATCCACCCATCCATCTACCTACCCCTCACCCATCCACCCATCCATCCATCCATCCATCTATCCATGCAGCAAATATTTATTAAGCATCTTCTACATGCAATGTAAATTTGTGGGACATTGGAAATAAAATAATAAACAAGATAGACATAGCATTGCTAATGGCATTTACATTATATCGGAGAAAACTGAAAATTAGGGAAACCACCTCAATGAAGAGGATTTGATCCCTAGGAAGCATAATTTCCCAAGGTGACCCTCTTTTCTTTCTAACTAATAACCATTTTCTTTCGAATCACATACTTCTCTTACAGACTCTGCATGAGGCATAGAGTTATTTGTGTGACCTTCGTGGAACACTATCAGGGTCATATATGGGTTGATGCTGCCATCAAGGATGCTTCATTTGCAAGAAGGACTGTATGAAGTAGAGATATTATGCTCATGGGCAAAGTGGAAAGTGGAAAGCTCACAGGAACGTGCCGCCGCAGGTTCGTCGGTGTGCTGGACGGAGAGGAGCTGGTGCTGAGAGCGTTCTCTATGTCCTGGTCAAGCTGTTCCAGTTTCATAATTAGCAGCACCATGGAGTCTAGCCGCGCCCTATCTCGATCTTCTCTTATTTCCTGAGGAACAGAACATGTTGTTACTGAATCTGAAAGGCCACTTCTTAGAAAGAATAAAAAGTCCCCTGTTCTTCAATGTGACAAAAAGGACACTGAATAATAGGCAGTCTTCTACTTAAAGGAGAAGGGAAGTTCTATTCTGTATCATCAATGGGCTCTTCATTGGAAAGATACTGACCTACTGCCAAGAAAGCATTTTACATGAATATTAAATATATATCTTCTGGAGCAAAGTACAATGAAAAAGAAGTATAATATCAGTGAGTACTGATATATATTTACAGCTTTCTAATGAATTATTCCTGGGAAAAGTTATATATTTACTCTTTTTGTGTCATGGTACAAATCAATGATAACAAACAAATAATTATGGTTAGAGATTTAAAGATGCATATAAAAGAATATTTTGGAAGAATATTTCCGAGGATAGCAAAAAAATGGGAAAAGAATCAAACAAGGCAGGTTTTCAGTTTGTGCGGTGGGCATTTTTTTGGTTTTTTTTTTTGCATGGGGCCATTTACCTACTGCTACTTCAACTTATGTCATTGCCAATATATTTCAATGCTTCTTTTTCTTTCATACACTTTTGGAAAAACCCCCACAAGCATAGGAATCATAGTTACTTATTCTGAATTCACTGTAATATAGACATATATTTATGGGAATATTTTTGCTTATAGGAATAGCTAAAGTTTCTCATTGACCATATACAGTTATTTGGGCATGACTGTTTACTATTCTTGTGTGTTCAAGTCAAGTCGATTAGTATTAGGAATCTTCCAAATTCCCTGTGTTGTACAAGGTATGAAGGTTGGGTAGGGTCTTGGGTGAAAAAAAAAAAAAATGAAAACCTTGGAAACACAGTAAGTTTCTTTAGAAGCAAAATCTTTTGAGGGACTCAGGGCCAGCGTTTTTGAGGCAAATCATCATTTGTAACTCATTTTGCCATCTTCTCATCTATCTGAGATATTTACCTGGGGGAAATCAGGTTTGAAAGGACCACCCGGGTGACCTCAAAGGGAAAATATATCATGACAGAAGGCTGAGGGGTGTGAGCACAAGGGAGCAGGTTGGGGGCTTTGCCTAGGTGATGGTACTAGTAGTGGGATGAATGAGTAATTGCCTGAATCAGATCTTTAATTTTGTTTTTGGCATTGTTCTTCTAATCCCTCTAAATTCTCTAGCCACCATTAGAAGGGAACTCCAAAGAATAAGGACGAGGGTAATTTTGTGGATTCATCTAATTATATAGGGATCTCTGTACCTCAAACAGCTAGAGCAGACTGGTAACTTTAATGAGAATTATCTTTCATATGTCAAATAATTGGTTTATTAGATTAAATTGTCAAAGAATCATTAATTAAGCTAACATTGATAAGTTATTTGAGTAAGCTGAACTTGTGCTTGGTTTGATAGATTAATGTCAAATCGGAAGAGTTAGTCCTGATTCCACAAAGACATTAATTTTGAGAATAAATTAATAATTTTTTTGAGTTGTGTTAATTCCTTGAGAATACTATGCTGTGATTATTACTTCAATTTCTTTCAATTGTTCCTACTGTCTAAAACATTTATTGAGGCTCTAATAGAGAATTACAAAACCCTTGTCATCATAACGTTTCATTGTGCTTAAGAGGGTCCAGAATATTTGCAAACAAACAGACCTGAACCTTATTACCCATCATATCCCTCAATGCTACAGAACTTTGTTATATTAAAAAAAACAATATTTATAGTAAAATCCTGCTAATACCTTAAAATAGAGTCCTAGAAATATTGGAGATTATTCAGTTTAATTCTCTTCTAAATAATCCAGAAAATGGAAAAATCTAACTGAATAGAAGACTCAAAGTCCCCTTAATTACTTCTCCAATGTGTTTGCCTATACAGTTTCCTTCTCTTTTAAACCAAAGTTGTGTTGGGCAACATAATGTTCTTTGCATCTCTATATCCGCATATATGTTTGCGTGATTATCTTTCATTTCCCTGTTATAACATCCTAAAGCAGAAGGATTACATTTTTCAACCTGGCAGACATAAAGTCAAGTTATATACTGCACACACGATGCATTTTCAGGAATAATAATAATGAAATCAATAGAAGCCAGTGAAATAACACCTCCCAAAGCCTTAGAAAATATATCTTGATATTTTTCCAGCTACTAAGTTAATGTTGGATACAGCAGAATATCCTGCAGCTATCCTAGACCTATCAGCAGTAGTCTCAGAAACAATTTGTCTTTGAATTAACTGGATGCTGAGACTGTACTTTAAAAACGTTTTCAAATCCACGGGCTGAGCATCAAGTTATTTCAAATGATCTGCCAAAAGGAATAAAATCACATAGCTTTGGTCGACAATATGCTTTTAGAGAAATAAGCCTATTGCTTTTCCCTTTCCTTTATGGATGCTTCCTTATTTACCATCCATTACACTCAGCCTGAAGTGTCAAGTACACAGACCAGTATCATATGTTATACATTCATAAAACTTCACAAAATAGAGTTGACTATAAATCAGATGCTTTGGATAAATATTATTGTCCTTGTTTTCAAAACCCAAGTATTAATGTTTCGTAAAGTTCTAACTTTTCATACGTCCATGGCTTAACTCCAATAAATAGCTCATGCCTGAAAACAGAGCTGTGTATTTGCAGATTTTGGCTAGGTGGATTTCTACAGTGGAGCTTTCATTTCATGCTGTCGCTATAGTCCACGAAGAGGAATCTCTTAATAAGTGAAGCTGCCTATTAAGAAGTTCTCAGTATTTCAGTAACTTAACCCCCTTAAATTAAGGCCAAGATGCTAAATGCTCTCTCTTCCCATCTTTCCTTCCTTCTTTCCTGCAGTCCCAGCTGTTCTGGGCGGAGCACTATTAAAGGGACAAAATAGTCATTGATGAATAAGAGATATAAAATCCATATAATTTCCTGAATATTATAGTCAACCATGAGAAGACAGACAGCGAAAGTTAACAGATTGATAAATAAGATAGTTTCAGATAGGAACAAATGTAAGAAGAAAATAAATAGGTTAATGAGATCTACAGTAACTGCAGGGGGAGTGTCCCACTTTGTATAGGGTGGTCAGAGAAGAGCTTTCTGTGGAAATGAGTGTTAAATCATGATGGGGAGAGAAAGAATGAGGTAGAGAAGAGAAAGAGAGAGAGAGACAGATTGAGAGAGAGAAGAAAGAAAGAAAGAAAGAAAAAGAAAGAAAGAAAGAAAGAAAGAAAGAAAGAAAGAAAGAAAGAAAGAAAGAAAGAAAGAAAGAAAGAAAGAAGGAAAGAAAGAAAGGAAGGAAAGAAAGAAAGAGGAAAGAAAGAGGGAGGGAGGGAGGGAGGGAAGGGAGGAGAAGCAGGAGGAAAATAGTCTTCCATGCAGAGTAAAGAGTGATACAAGGATGTGGAGGTGGGAATGAGTTTGGTGAATAAGAGCATCAGAAAAAAGGTTAGGGGAGTAGGGGAGGGGGGTAGTGAGAGGGAGAGTGAGTGGGTGCTAGGACAAAATGAGGTTGAATAGAAATAGGAGTCAAATTATATTTTGTCATGAGGGCACTGTAAACAGGTCAGTTTTATTCAATGTGCAATGGGGCCACTGGCAGGATGTAAGCAAATGAGTGATTTACCATGTTTTTTAAACTTTTAGAGTTCTCATCACATATTGACAACCAAACATTTTTGGAACCTCACCATACTTTTTATCCAGCAATGTCACATGGCTAATATATGCTAAATAGTTCTATTCATCATAAGATTATTATTCTAATTCTAGTTGTACTCCTTTTTAAGCTGAAGTCTGAATTGGACCCACATTACAGTGATTATAAAGAAATAACAGATACTTTTACAAGGCCCTACGTATCTTGAGATCAAAGTGGAAAAGAAAGCACTGTTTTGGGAACCTATTTCTTAGAAGTAGGGGGTGGGTGGGCAGTGGTATGTTGGTAAATGTTTAGCAACCAGATCTCCAAATCAAAAGAAAGTCCTGATTTGTAGCATGTGCTGATTTCTGTGGTGTTAACACTCTCATGGCCGATTTCAAGCTACCAACTAGATATTATTGAATACAGAGCTGAAAGAGATGCACACAACTGGCTCTTGTGAGCTGATATGAGCTGGTGCATGGTGGCTCCAACACACACTAGGAAGGGGGCCCAGTAGGATGGAGAGTCATTCTTAGAATTTGACTTGAATAGAAACATTAGTAGTTAAACCAATAGCTATAATTATGGTTTAGTCAATACAACGACATATTGAAATAATGCATTTTATTTACTTAATGAATTTACTTTCCTTAACTTTTGCTCTTGTTGCCTGAGTAGAGTTCAGCATAAACTGTAGATTTAAATTTAGTGTTCTTCTGGAGGGTTCTCTTTTTTCCTAATAGTGGCTCCTTTATCTGCCTTCCTTACACTATCCATTATTTATGTTTGCAAAATTCCTTATAATTAACATATCTTTATATTTGTATTTTTACTTAAGTCAAAACACATTTCTTTAAGTTCCTCGTTATGTCGCTTGGAGACTTCATACAACATGTAAGATTTTAGAAATCTGGAAGTCCAGGACAGCGGTTATTGGTTCCAGTGTCCTGACTTTGCAGATGAGGAAAGCGAATTCCTGGGAGTTACAAGTCCAGATCACTCCTCCATTGGCGAATTGAGTAGACCAGAGATGAGCTCTCCTCACTTCCTGTCCTGGTCTCTTTCCAGTACTCCATTTTGGTTTCCTTCCATAGAAACAATTTTTAATTTAATAGCAATTCAGGTATCGTGTATTCTCTCCTTAACTCCTGCAACCTGGTTTCCATTCCTTCCAACATGCAGAAACTATGTTGTGGAAGAACACCAATGACCACAATTAATTGCAAGAAAACTTTGAAGCATCTAGTCCAGTTCTTTACACTTTTAGTTAACAATCATTCAAGATATGTTTATTGCTGAACTGCTATGTGCTATATACTCTTCCCTAGGAGGCAACCTATTTCAGATTTGTACAGT